CGATTGGTGCATAACTCCGCATAAGTTACAAACTAAGCATGGCAGTGAACGCAGCAGACCTTGCCTTTGGCAACCTGCCACATCTAGCCGCTACGAATTTAAGAGCAAAGCGCTCTCTTTGCTTTCTGCTGACTCTGCACTGGGCTTTGACGTCGACATGTCGATCCCTGTCACGTGTACCTCGGAGGCTGGCAGGCGATGCCTCTCATGCCTCTGTTGCTCGGGGCGTTCAGGACTCGCGCACATGTCAAACATGTTCAATGCCACGGGCACTTCTTCAGCCAGGTCCCGCCTTGATTGCAAGCAACGCATGACAAAGAGCTACGCACGGCTTCTAAACTTGCCAGGTGACGGACTGACCACTCCCCACCCCCGAATACAGCACAAACACATGAGCAACGGATTTTATTTGATGTCGTCCGCAATGGCCCCATTTCATTTGCCTTTCTTGAACCCAGACTTGACTGCTCGCTGGGAAGCGGACGTTAGAACTCGCCTTCAGTATAAACTAGTACTCGGAGTACGGCATGTTGTGCTTGTTGAACTGTCTTAGGTCCGCAAAGAAAAGGTTTCGTCCTATTTCCGTGAAAGTGGGATGTTGGACAGGACAAGTGCCAATATTCAGCGACCTGTTGGCAACACAGATTGATACAGGATGATTACATGGTCCAGGGGCTTGTAAAGGTCACGCGCGCATGAGCGCACCAGGCACGGATCTTGCGCAGGATTTCTGTGTACATTTGTCGGGTTGGAACCTACGCAGGTGCAGGCCCATGTCAGATCAGGCATGTTATGGATGCTGCACGGGCTCTTCAAGACCTTGCACGGACCTTGAAGATTTCTTGTGCGGTCGTTGCGCGCGTAGTGTTTTTGCACATTCTTCATCTTATGGATCAGCACCCATTGAAAAGCAAAGATGCCTTGACGGCACCGACATGAGTTCCAATTCTACTTCGGGACATTGCATACTTGACAGGTCTGATCCAACACCTGAAGCTGAACAACAAACGGACGGGGAAACCATGGGATCCATGCGAACATCGCAAAAAGTGAGGGAAACCACAGGAGTCCAGCCAATGTGACGGTGGTTAGACCAACCATTCATGCAGGTTTTGAAGAACAGGTCGCAAGCTGCGCAAGTGCAGTGCAGCAAAACAAACCTCGATGTAATGATTTGTCGTCGCGGCGGTCTGCTTTGCCGAGACTCTGTGCCGTAACGCGCCCACATCCGTCGAGCCTAACATCTCTCTGAGGAAATGCAGGTGGGCTATGCTTTGCAAGGGGCCGCCAAGTGCCAACAGTTAAACATGCCCTTAGAGTCTGCAGAGTCTGCAGCTGACCACATACCAACAACCCTCAAACGCACAGATTTTCGCAGCAGTCATCAGGCAGCTTTCTACTGTTGAAAAGAATATCCCTAGTTGATCCGGTTGTGTCGGTGTCCGGAGCAGCACTGCGCAAGCCACGCCAAGCGGCATTGTTTCACACGTTCAGCAGGATCAACAAAGCAACTGCGCAAACACTTCGGTCCAACCACCAGGACGAGCAAAGGTTCCTGAAGAGACGCGACTACCGGGCGGGCAAATCTACGGCAGTGAGTAGTGAGTAGAACGAGGCCAGGAGTCACTGTCCCGACTCGAGTCCCGACTCAGCCTGCAGTTTGCGCATGCACGGCACGACGAGACGACATAACGTCCAAGTGCTCCCGATCTTCGAGGCCGCTCGGGGCCGGCCACTGTAGCGTTTTATCGTGTGCTCTTTACTCAAATGATAACACATGAATATGCAGATACATGTAGGACATGCTGCTAACATACCTGCCGCACCCACATCCGGGGCAGTCCTGACAGTTCTACAATGCGGCCTGCGAGCGCGAACAAAAACATGAACCCCACGGGTCGGAGCTCTTCTGCAAGCCCAACTTGAGCAGTCGCTGCATACTTCGTTCGAAAGTCTTGGAGCTTGGCCCGGCTTCTTGAGGCATTCCACGCGACCTCAAGACGCGAGTTGGACTGTGGCTGGAACAAACAATAAATGCGAAAAGGAAGTGGGAACCAAGATCATTGCTTCTTCTTTTTTATCTTCTTTCCCAGGGACGCACCTGCAAGCGTGCCCAAGCACACGATGGCACAGGGTCACTTTGGCTTCCTGATACTTCCACGTATGCTGGCAAAGCACTTCGAGATCGCGATCCTTCTGGAGACTGCGAGGTGCTCACCTTTGTTCCAAAAGCACCCAACAGGTGCATGCATGCACGCGCCAATCATACCGAGCCCGTTAATACATTGGGTATAAGCCCTGAATGGCATGCGGCAAGCGAACTCTCCCGGCAGTCAGCAGGCCAGACTGCAGATTTCACATATGCTTATAAGTACAAACCTAGCATTGCTGGCTGAAACAACGGATGCTTTCGAGCTCCCCACCTCCACGCTGAGGCTCACCTGCAACGATGTGTTTGGGGACTGTTTTGTTGGAGTCACGTGCCGGGCCATTCACTGTTTGGGGTCCCAGAGCGGGCTCCGAGCTCCCAAGTTGCAGGGGCCCGATATTTTTTTGTCAAGAATTCAAGCTTTGTTGTTTTCTCAACCAAGTTTGGAGTCTAAATCCTCAAGCCCAAACCCTCAAACTCTTAGAGCACCTTCTCTGCAAAGCAGATCTCTTCTGGGTCTCTGATACAACATACACTGACGTGGAGGGTGTATTTCTTCACTATGATTACACAAGAAAAGCACAGCAAAAGAAAGAGTCCGCTGGCCTTTTCGGCCCGGCCCCCCTTACATCCCGAAAACCGCCCTTGACCCCTCAGCTCCTCAGGCTGTTCTTTTCATCCTTTCTTATCTCCAATCCCTGTTAATCTAGATAGACTCATCCTACTGTTGGGAAAATTATATATAGTATATAATTGACCCGGTTGACCGCTCCAAAAGGGAAGACATGAGCTTCGACTATTTTCATTAAATGTTCTTGGAAGGGGACGTCGGTCCAGCCGTTTCGTGTTTTGCCAGTTTTGCCCAGACCCAGATACATAACGCACTAGGTATGCAATGGCTAAGGGCAGTGGCCAAAGGACCCGTGATGAGCGGGTTTTGTGTCGACGGGACAGCCAATGCCCAGATGCACAACTCCTCCTTTCTTTCGGATGCCTCGTCAACACTCGTGATGTCCGCAGCCGTCGCGGAACCGACTTGTTGAGGCCTGCCCCACCGTTGCAAGCAAACAAGCGGTGTATCATAGTGCCAATCAGTCGGAAGAAGACATGTGCGTCCCGAACTTGCACCAACTAAGCCCCAAACCCAACTGGCACAGCCAACGAAAAACTAGCTTCACTTCTATACCCACCTCATCTCTCCGACACAAGTGCACGCAAAGCATGGCGAAGTGAAGTGATGCTGCATTCGCCAAACATGTCAAACTGGAAGCTGCAATGAAATTCGCCGCCTGTCTCGCGCACCCAGCCCATGCTTTGCTGGCCTCATGCTCTTTGATGCTCTTTGAAGGAATGGCAAGGCTTGGGAAGCCAAAACTATGCCAGGACCATCCAGAACCCCAAACAGTGAGAGACCACATGGGGGTCAAAAAGAGCATGCCAAGCTTTCCAAACGCCAGGAAAAAAGATTAGAAGTAGCTCCAGCAGCAGAGCACGACAAGACCAGAACGTCAGGAGATCGCAGCAGGAACCCAGCACTTGATTTGCCAGCAGACCCCCAGGACACGTCTCATCCAGCCACCTTGGCATGCAACTTCAGGGAGTACGCCTCATAGGCTGTCGGAAAGATCGTCCGCATACTGCCTTTGTACTCAAAATTCGGGCTGCCACTGGATGTCCTATGTTTGTACTTCAAAAGTCGACTTTCGAGCAACCACGGCCAGATGTCCAAGGATGACGACGTCGATGCGCACAGCGCCTAGGCGGGAGCGCGATTTCCCACATCGCGAATGGCAACCCCTTTGTCTGGCCACACGCAGCGAACCCATCCAACTCATCCAACGGCCCAAAACGCAGGAATCCACGCGCCGGCCACGTTTTCAAGACGCGAAGCGATGCAAGTCTCAAAGAAGTGCACGGGATCTAGGCGGAGAGCACGACTTCCACAAACACCAGAACATGCACGAGGCGATGCGACACCATCCACAAGCCAAGCGTGTGATTTCGATGTTTCAAGGCCCCGAGAAATCCATGTCCGCACCCGCGCTTTGTAAAAAGTGCAAGCTTCGTCCGAAATGCAACCACCACTCGAGGAATCAAGGAATCGCATCTGCGTAATCGCGGGCGCCGCGCCCGCAAATCAATTGAACACCTTTTGGCTCTCATTTTTTGCCGCCCGCTTAGCTGAACCGTACGTCCACATTGCTCTTATGAATGAAGAACCCCGAGTGTTGGCACCTGTTTGGGGAACAAAACACAAGACTCTCTGTCCAAGACGCCAGACTCCAGTTCTTACTGGCGGGAAGTGGGGGCCAATCTCGATTGTGGAAAGCCTGTGAAGTCCTGGGCGGGTGTGCGCAACATGCACGAGCAGCTGGAAAGAAATGAGGCAGCGTGGCATGACCGAAGGGCACGATTCTGCAGGAAAGCAGCTGGCCCCGCTGCTGAAAGAAGGCACGGTTTGGGTCTGCGGAGCTAGCAAGGCTTTCAAGCTGGCCTCGGTACACAGCATGGCATATCATGGCATGCCCTACTGGCTCAAACGTAAGGCTTCGAAGTGTCACCTACAAGTGGCAACCATATCAACCATCGAGGCGCCACTTGCACAGCTCGGCTCGTTCTTACTTGGAGTTTGGAGCCACTTGGAGCTTGTCCTTTTTTCTGAAGATTATACAGAATTCACATCATCAGCGTCCCTGTTCCGACCAACCTCGAATCCGACATTCTGAGGCCTTCTGCTGGCATTGCGTTGCACCACCAGTCCGAATGCTATTGCCTCCTTTCAAGCCTTCGAGTTGTAGGCCTCCAACCTGGTAAGAAATACCGTTGTTGAGTTCCCAACCATCGCAACCGTCTAGACGAGGCATCTGGAGGGTTTCATGTTGAAGCCTTCGAAACTCGTAATGCTCAATCTCCCAATGCAGGGCTCAGCTAGCTCAGCTCCGAATCCGGACCAGAAGAGAAGGACCATTGATGCGGCCACTGCCGGGGTCATGGCTTTGGACTCCATGCCGGACTGTTGAACATGTGACGCCACATTTCCGGAAAGTGCGTGAGAAAAGCTGGCCAGGCACACTTTAAGTTCCCAGCCCCAAAGTGCCAAATCATGCCAAGTCTCGTTGAAATCCCGCTGCATGTTATTCAACTTCAGGTCATTGGGATCCATTCCAAATGGCTGGTCGATTTCGTCAGCAATGTGGAACAAGGCCCAGTAGCCAGCAGTTACGCAGAAGGTCGCCAGAGCAGCCTTGGCTCCCAAGGCAAAGGCCTTGCTGCGCTGAAGTCATTGCGTACATATTCACACACACACACACTTTGTTGCTTATCAAGTCTTGTAGGTGCATTGAGTATTGCACATCTATAGAGAAAACGTTTTCGTTCAATACATTGTATGGTCTGTTCAACAATTGGTCGGAGTCCTTCTGCGCTTTTGATGCGCGGCATTTTCAGGCCCGTATAGTGACCCGTATACGGATTCCGGCCAAGGGGTGGGAAACCTTCTTTTCGGGCGCCGGAGGGAATTTTTTCAGCCTGTATTCCAAAGAGAGTGCGGACACTCGTGAGCAGCATAGCGCCCTGATCGCCCGCGAACATGGCCAAGAAGCGCGAACAAGAGCTAGGCTAGCAGCGCAAACATCGTCAGCATCGTAAACAAAACACGGAAACCGCAAACAGCGCGAGCTGTGTCAACACCGTGAACCGCGCAAACACTGCGAACAGCGCTACCAACAGCGCGGACAGCGTCAACACCACCAACAGCACGAACAGCGCTATAACAACGCGTGTTGAAATTGTGAACATGCAGCGCGAAAACCGCGAACACCGTGAACGGCGCGAACGAGTGCGAAGACTGCGAACAGGGCAACAAAAGTTCGCAAGTCGACTTTGCCAGGGGCTCCGCCGGGAATCCGTAGCGTGGGGGCAGTATGGTCACAAAAACACTCCTGGCGAGCGACGCTGAGCGACTCCGAGTGACGCCCAGCCACGCCGAGCGCGGCCACGCGCCTGAGCGCCGAGCGAAGACGAACCATGCCGAGGTATGCCGAGTGAAGCCGAGTGATCACTTGTCTTCACTAGTCTTCGCTCGTCTTCGCTTGTCTTCGCTCGGCGTCTCTCGTCAATTGCGTGTCTGCGCGTGTCTTTACTCGTGTTCGCATGTCTTTGTGTCTTCGCTCTCTCTCTCTCGTCTTCGCAACTCTTCGCTTGTCTTCGCTCGTTTTTGCTATTTTTTCTTTGCTCCTTGTTTCGTTTTTTAACGCTCGTTCTCTAATGTCTTCGTTTGTTTGTCTTGGTTTATGGAAACAGAACTTGGATCATCTTGGGACGGAATCCTATATGAGCTTGAAAACGGTGTCGTTGCTCCTTGGCGTTCAGGAGACGATATAGGGGCAAGGCTTTCAGGGACTCTGCAAGTTTCAGGCTCAGGCAGGGGGCTTTCGCGGGGTCCTTGGAAGCGTGTTAAGGTACTCCAAGTGGGAAATGCAAACACCCCAGTGGCACGCCGCTTTACCAAAAGGTACTCCACAAAAGACACAACAGATTACACCAGCCTCGACCCCAAACAGCACAAACTACAAAAAGGAGGAGCTTACAGGTTGCATAATGTATGGAACAGCCAGCAAATACTCCACGGGAGGGGTTTCGCCATCCCACCCCAAAGGCAAAACGCAGAGCTAGCTCAGCATTCTGGTCGCAACACGACAAGGTTTGCGGTTGAATCGTAAGTAAGGGTGTGAGGGAACTGGGCATTTGTTCACGCGCAGATATCAGCTATGACTGCGCAGCGTCAAGTGGCAGACTGCTGCGGCTGGAACAAAACAGCGCTCACTAAGTCAACGAAGGTACGGAATCAAGATGTTGCTTGAGATTCAGCATGTTGTCCTCGAGTAAATTCTAGATTCCGAATCAAAAACGTCTAGAGTCTGGGGTTGTCAGCCTCACGTCTTCTACCTGACAATGTTCATGCAATGTGCAAACATGGTTTACCAAGATTTTGCAGGAGGAAAGGAAACACTACGCCCAGAATATGTCGCCCTCTAACTCAGACAGTAGGAAACGAGACATCAAGGAAAACAATAGCATAGCATGAAGAAAAGCAAACCTTGCCTTTAGCGAAAACATCACAGCATCTGTTTCCCCATCTCGGACAGCAGAAAAACAATGGACAAAGCACATGCCGACAAAATGAAGACAAGCAACCACATGCTCAGAGACCGAAAAAAAACATCATGAAGGAGACAATAGCACGTTCTGAAGGAAGACAAATCCTGCCCCTCCCCCAGTATCGCGTTACGGCATCCGGCTCCCCGTCTCGGACTCCAGAAAACGAGACATGAGGGGCCAATAGCACGTTATGAGCGGAGACAGATCCTGCCGATCCCTAGAAGCGCGTCACAGCATCCGGCTCTCCGTCCTATGCACCAGAAAACGAAACATGAGCGGGGAAGAAAATAGCTCCCCAGACAAATCCTGCCCGTCCCCATTAGCGCGTCACAGCATCCGGCTCCCTGTCTAGGACATCAGAAACAAGACATGAGGGGAGACAACAGCACGTTATGAAAGGAGACAACAGGAGACAAATGCTGCCGCCGATCCCGAAAAGTGCGTCACAGCATCCGGCTCCCCGTCCTGTACACCAGAAAACGAGACATGAGGGGAGACAATAGCACAATATGAAGGGAGACAAATCCGGCCCGTCCCCGGAAGCGCGTCACAGCATCCGGCTCCTCGTCTCGGACTCCAGAAAACGAGAAATTCGGGGAGACGATAGCACCATGACCCCAGTAGAGGTCTAAAGTTAACTGTCTTGAGCTTTGGCTCCTTATCAAGCCTTCACCCCAAAATGGTGCCTCTTCAGGGTTTAGAGTTGCGGGGTGCGTTTGGTTTTTCGATGTTTTTCGGCTCCTCCCCCTCAGCTGCCCTAAACCCTGTACCCCCGAATCCCTAAAAGCCCTAGAGGTTAAACTCTTTCCCCATGTGAGTCGGCGTCAAAATCACTTGTTTAAGCCTTGCTTGTTTTTGAATTAGTGCGTCCCCTATCGTTTTCCATGTTTTTCACCTACCGCACTTTTATCCTATAGTATCAAATAACAGTATCATTTTAGCGCGTCCCCTATCGATCCTCGGCATTTTGCCGCAACAACTACACCCTCTACTAAAATAAGTAAGCGGTAATTTTGACCGCGTCTCATGTCCGTCATGTCGCCGAGCGACGCCGGGCGTCGAGCGACGACGGCCTCGCTCGTCGTCTATCGTCGTCGCTCGTTTTCCGGTGTCTTTGCGTCTTCGCTTGTCTGCTCAGATTTCCGCACGGCCGCGCCACAAACGCAATCGCATTTTCTGCCCCGCTTGATAAACAGAATTTAGGCCGCGCGTAGCGGCCAAGAAAAGTATGGTTTCTTAGAAAACCATCATTCTCGATTCTTATCGGGCCAGTTCAGGCTCGGAAACGACACCAACCAATCCTGTCGTTTGTGCTCTCAAACTTAGCGGCTGGCTTGACAAAATGGAAAAGTGCCGCTGTTACTGCATGCTGGAGGCCATTGCAGTTGAACTCACCAACTGGCTTGCCAACACTGGCGTGACCTAAGTGACCGTTTCCAGCCTCTGCAAGCAATGACTCATAAATCTCAGTGTCGAGCACCTAAAAGCTCAACCAGACGAGGCTTCGACAATTGAGAACACCAGCAGCATGTCCAGTATCATCTGCGCATATGGAAAAGGAAATGGGATCTCTGCAATCTTTCGTGCCTCAAAAGGCCAAAGGGCAAAGCGAAAGACTCCAGCAAGCCAGCTTTAAGGCCACTTGCGAATCCAGAAGTGTAAGTGGTGCTCAGGCTGGGTATGGTTCAACCACACATAGTTTCCATCATCATCGCCCAAAACCCGCGTCATAACCCAAAGCTGGGGTCTGTCTTAGAATGCCCCGTTTATGAAAGCTTCTTTTGCTTGGCCTTACACCCTGTGCCTCAAACCAGGCTGTCGCTATCTCCAAAAAGAGTGTGATGCGGCTTTGTCACCCGGTAGACGTCAGCAAGAGCAGACGCCAAATCTGCCAATGGGCGGCCCAAAATTGGAGGCGGCACATCCAGAACTTTGATCTTTGGATTGCCCACAACTTCTTCGCGTGCCTTTTGCACAATGAGCCTGAGTCACTGGTATTGTTTCACCAGCTGTTGGCCCACCTAACTATGCATGCTTTCAGAAGGACTCATGCATTTTCAACTGTTGCAACACATCTAACCGGGGTCTCGGCCTGTAGATCCATTGACTGATTACTTCGCACCTACAGGGGGACGATCATGCCACGATCCGACAATCGTCATGATAGACGCTCTGTTATACACACCTATACACAAAAATACACAAAACTGACTCTCTTAAACTGATAAAACTGGAGATCCTTTGGGTGAAAGGATTGTGGCGGCAGGAGAGGCCTGCTCGGCGCGTGGTTCAGGTGGTACAGGCCTCGAGGTGGTCTTGGCCGATTATCAAAACATATCAAAATTACACGTAAAAAAAGTGAGGTTCAAATGGAGAGAGAAGTCTCTTTTTGGAAATGGAGTCCTCTTGATCAACTTTGCGCAAAGAATCAGGAATTATCTTGGCACATGCATAGAGGACCAAACGGGATCGCCTCAGGCTGCAGGTAATTGCAGGTAGGCCACTCTGCTCACACATTCCTCCCAAGTCCATGACCTGCAAGCTTTGTCAAGATTATCCTTGCACACCGTACCCTTTAAAGTCTCAGGGTCGCAGATTCTGATTTGTATGCCGAGATATGCCGAGTCTCCCGGAGTCCGTAAGAAGAAGCTTAAGGAAGCTTTTCGGGCGATTGCGGACCGACCCACACGACTTTGGGGTTACCAATCCTAAGTTCCGAGCACCCTGTGCGAAACTGCAGACGTATTCTCCGGACCTAGTTGATGCATCAGCCTCTGGCAGGGGGAGAACCTAGAACCGAGGGCTTGATAAATGGTCAAAAAATCGCTTGGGATATCTTGGGATCAAGCAATCTCTACACCACTTGCCACTTTCGGACTGGCCTGCATTTTCAAGTTGTGCGCCTGCAAGACCACTGCCGCTGCTTTTGCTAATGCTCTGGGACTCGACACTGACTCGACACAGCGCGGCCTTCACGCCGTCCATTGCCGTGGTGGTGCTTGATTTCTTCTTGGCGGCTGTATTTGGATCTTCGCTGGCAATGTCATGACAGCAAGACGAAAATAGCAGGCCTGAGTAGGCCATCAGTGGCCGAAATGATCCGAAACCTTTGAAAGTAAGTCGTTGACTGAATTGCACCCTGCAGTATCTTGCAGCCAAGTAGCTCATCAAACGTATGAGAAGGTGTTGAAACTCTTCCACTTGCTGCTTAGCAGGTTCGGTCCTTATCGAGCATCGGGCACCCTAAATCCAAGCTCCATATCTCAGCCATCGGGTCCGGATGCTAACTCATCGGTTATGCAAACTTGGGTATTTGAGAATCATCTCAAGTGTCGTGGGCTCGCAGCAATATGCACACAGTGTGCTGGCGCAGTTGAACAACTCACCGCGCAGCTCGTGCATTTTTGATGCTGCCTCCCAAAATCTGTTGTAGGCCTCCAGGCGGTGTGGATATGTGTGGATGCACGGGACCACATGAACGACTTCTCCTGCCTGGTTGTTGCGGAACACAATGAGGAACCCAAGCACGAAAGTATAACCGCCCCAGATAGCCATAAAGCCGCCCACCTGGCACGAAGTCGAACAACCCGTAATGTGAACCTTGAGTCCTCCTTTCTGCGACACGTTTTTTTGCCAACATCTTTCAGCATTCGGAGTCCTGAGGGTTGTCTTCCCCTTTCGTGTCCTTGTTCCAGGCCAGATGCAGGACGATAGCCTGAGGAACTGCAGGGCGCCCACTCTCGTGACCTCTTCCCACTACAGTCTTCAGAAGTCCCTATGCTACGTGGCTGAAGCACTTCGAATGGAACACTGCACTGTTGCAATTCGGTTCAGTACCCTTGCCGGTCTTGTGTGCCCATGCAATGACAAAGCCCGCGTGGTGAGCCAACTGTCGTTCACAAGGTCGTGGTACGTTTTACCGTCGCTTAGCAAAATTGTGCTTTGTGCAGTCATGTGTCCAAAAGGGTGGAAGGCATGGAGAAGATGAAGCCTCTGGGAAGGACGGAACCGTGAAGTCCTGAGCAGTCAGCAGGACCGACTCGTGAATCTGGCGTGCTTTAAGATGGCTGTTGCAGTCTCTGAGAACTGTTGCGATGCAGCCCCGTGGCCGAAAGCCGTGCCCAAGAATCCTCTTGGCCTTCAGACGGGAAGTCGCTTTGAAGTCCTAGCATGTCCTAGCCTACCATGCTCAAAGCTCCAGCAACCCCTTGCAATCGCCGATCTGTCAAAAAAACCAATTTTGACAGACCCCGCGCACTTATGACTTACACCGTCTTTTCCTGTAGCCTTTTTGGCTCCAATGCGCGCACTTGCCACACCGGCTGTCTGCACCACAATCCCGGTCGCACCCAAACAAAACGTTTTGCACCTTACTTTTCCATAATTACTTCTGATGCCTCACGCTCGGTTCCAAACAGATTCTCTTTTCTTCCACGACTTGAACAACTCGTTGCTCCCTGTTTGCCGTAGTCGCCCCCCGTCTTCGTGGCATTTCGATGCAACGACGACAGCTTCAACCAAAAGCGCAGAAAGTCTGGAGCAGCGAGTGCCCAGAATCTTCCGTCATCATTTGGAACGCACATCCAGATACATCAGCTTTGAAATACCACCTCCATCAAACAGACGAAGCTTTAGGGAAATGCACGAAGTGGAATGCTTCCATCAAAAGTCGCCATGGCAAGTGGCCGGCAAAGTTCCTCGGTGGCTTGTAGCAAGGTGCCGAAGTATCTGAGCGTCTTTTTGCACGTTTCCGAAAGGTTTCAACGCACCAGTAATTTCTTCTTCCAGGAAAGACGGCCACACACTGTACCGCTTTCCCGTGCACAATGCACTGCATGACTTGTGTCATACCTCCGTTGTGTGCCATTCCCCCCATGCCACCAGCATATCGTCCGCATAGACCAGCTCATTGTGATGAGCGACGCAGCGGCTGCGGAATTAGGGAGTGGATGGGAGTGGAGGCAGCATGTTGGACGCATCTGAGAGCATCACCGTCAGAAGCATCGAAAAGAGGAGAGGAGACAACGGGCATCGCACAATTTCCGCTTTCTGCGTGTAATCCTGAGAGCAACGCCCATGGACATGCACCGGTCTGTTGTTCTGTATCTCTTACTGTTTTTGGCACATCGGCGAAGGCAAACCGAACTTTCCCGAAGCTACAACTGATTGAGCCAAAAGCGCGTACCCAATCCAACGACAGGAACATCAAAGATTCAGACTCCGCCATCCACGGTTCATCCAACAGTCTGCGTGCCACATCGTGCCACAGATCTCTCTCTCTCTCTCTCTCTCCCTCTCCCTGTCGGTAGCCCGCGAAGCTACCCGAGCCAAAAGTTCGCCACCCCAAGCTTGGCACTTAGCGCTACCCCTTTGGTTTTGTCACAGGTGTTTTTTGTTGCTGCTATCTACAGTCACTCGCGCCTGCGAAGCCCGCCTGTGCGGGCGGCCTCTTAAAATACTGTACACAAGTTGTACACAAAACAGAAGTGAAAAGGGCGAGAAGAAAGCGGGGGAAGGAGAGAGTTAAAAGGAGAGAGGGGACGAAAACAAGAAAAGGCGGGAGGAATGGGAACGGATGATAGGCCCTCCTCCCTGTCACCCTTCCTTTTGTTCCTTCTGCATTGAAAAGCAAAGAACCAGACACAAAGAACAGGGGTCGAATAGGGATCACATCACGACCATCATTTGTCCCTTTTTGTTGCCTATCTCTTCTGGTTGTTCAGGCAGAATTGACATGGGCTTTCTCACGGACGGGTTTGCTTCTATCTAGAATTGAGGATGAACTGCCGCCGTCTCTTCCGCACCCTTGTCCTCCCTCTCCTCTGTTCCTGTCTCTTCTTGTTTGTTCCTCTCAGACATGTGAAACCCTTTTAGAAATGTCACTGAAAACAATCATAAAAGAGAAGAATAAAACAACAATTTCCCTTTACACTAGTAGCAAAAAAGTATACATCATATTACCTCTCCATGTATATCTCGTCCGAATGCATTGCGACTTCTTTTCTTGGTCTGTTGGAAGAAAGCTGTGGAAGGAAAAGAAAAAGCGAAGGGAAGAAAGGGATGAGGGAATCATTTCCGTCTTTTTTCCTTGCTATTTTACTTATCCTTGTGCTCCCTTCCTACATCTTGGTGTTCCGCCCAGAAAGGAATAGAAGGGAGTTCCCCATCTTCGTTTTTTCTCTGCGTTTTCGTCCAGGAAAACAGGCAGGAGAAAACAATAAAAACAATTCATCTCCCTACGTTTTTTCTCCTTATCATTTTTTCCTATCTGTTGTTCGTGACAAGTATGGGTGCGCGGGTGGGGCATCCCAATCGCTGTCAAGCCATGAAAACTGCGTTTTTCAAACTTGTTATACCTATTTCTCTTCAAGAAAAAGCTGGAAAAACTTACAAAAAAAAACTGATAGGAGCCACGAACCCGAATGCACAAGCAAACCCCGGAGACAGGAATGCTTTGTAGGCATTTACCCCCGACAAGCAAAACCGGGAATCGTGAACACGTTGTAGGAGGTATCCACCACTCACTCCCCCGATAATCCAAGCGAAGGTTCAAAAGCGACGACAGTCACGAGGATGGCGCCACCCACGGGCGTCATCCTCCTGACGCTTACGAGGAGGACTCCAAAACGCCTCAGAGGCCTCATCCTCGTGACGGGCGGCACAATATCAGGCATGCAACGACCAAAACCACGCCAAAACATGCCAAAACGCTGGGCTTCCGCAACTTGCAGCTCGATTCGCGACAACGCGGGCGCTTTCGATGCTTCGGACGCTTCGCGAACATGAAACGCACGATGCCACGTAAACTCCCTGACCCCTGAACCCCACCTGTTAGGACGGGAACCCTCCCCTACGCATTCGGGAAAAACAGCGCGCTCTACATGATTCGCATTGAAAGGCGGAAAGTCTGAAAACTTGGAGATATTAAGAAGGATTGACAAGCACTCAAACTTCGTTTTCAAACTTTCAAACTTGCAAGATTGGGAGAAGCTTGATAACAGTGTTTTTCAAATCGTTCAACAAATTCTTGCAAGAAACAATTTGAAAAACTTGAACAGTTAAAAAACACTTTCAAATCAACATAAAAGCTTCTCAAACTTTCCCGCCTCCCTTTTGGAACTATTGCTCTTGCTTTCTGTTTCAATAAGTTCACTTGTTGCAACTTTTCTTTTTTGAACCCGTGCTATGCAACTGCCTGAAACTTTTCTTAAAAGAGCAATTTTTCTAAGCTCGAAGACGCAGAATCCAAACGTTTCAAATTTTACATTCCGCTTAAACTATTGTTCCGAATATACACAAACGCTTGAGAACTTTTCCTTGTAAACATTTGAAAGCTTGGCTTTACAAACTGTTCAAAATGTTTCGTGAAGACAAAAGCTATAAAACAAGTTCGAAAGAGCGCACTTCAAGAAAGAAAGTTTGAAACACCTGACACCCGTCGAATGGGTCCTAAATTGTCCTCAATGGCCGTAAAGGTCCCACGCACGTGGATATGTACTTCCATCGGCATTCGACCAAAATCAGGTTCCTATGTTCCTGGGGGTTCTACATACTTAGGGTCTGTTGAGCTTGGGCAACCTGACAAACAAGACCTCCCCGAAACACAAAAAAGGGATTCAAGGTAGAGACATTCCCTGTTTCGGAGGGAGGACATGGTTGCATCGATGCACGAACTGCCTGCAAGCACAGGACTCCGCCGATTGTACCGAGTGCACCGGTATGCTCCGGTTGTGCCGATTGCGTGCCGTTGGCTGGAGCGGTGTATCGGTGTGCAGGTGCTTGTGGGCTGGGCTCAATTGCCATCTCGCGTGTCGGCAGTCGGGCGCCAACGTATCCCAGCTAGCATCTGCACCTGCAAACCTATCATAACCTCTCGTCGCTTTCTTTCTTTCTTTCTTTTCCTTGGGGCCAGGGGCAAGTTTACAACCCGCGCGGCGGCCGCTCTCTCTCTCTCTCTCTCTCTTCTTTCTTGGGGGCATGAAGGCCCGAAGACCCCCGCGCGATTCGCGCGCCCCAGTTGTTTGGAGCGACTGAAACATGTGGGGGGAGTCCTCCCGTTCTTGCCCCCCATCCCCTCGTATCCGCCGAGGCCTTGGGCCGCAGCTGTCATGTTACAGAAGCTCAGGCCGAGCCGGGTCGCGTAGCGTTAAAATTAAGATGCCAGTACACCAATATTCACCCCGTTCTTAGACCCTTAACTGTCCCCTTTCGACTTGTTGTAGTGTGAGGGAGAACTGAGGCGACGGCCATGGAGATGAACCCCCAAAAAATCACAACCCCCTAAAACACACACGACCATAATCCCTCCTGAGTTCAGCTCAGGCTCTCTCGCTCGCTCTCTCTCTCTCTATCTGTCTATCTGTCTCTGCCATGCCATCCCCGAGGGTGTCACTATGCAAGAGCACAAAAAGCAGGCTGGGATATCAGGAGGCGGAGCGTGACCGCACAACCTCCTTCATTCTTCCCATATCCTATCATAATTTCTCGTCCCAGGTGCTGTTCTCTCTGCTTGTCATGTTGTACTCTTTCTCCATTCAGGCCGTCGGCTTCCATGGCTGTGCTGCAAAAGGCTGTGAAATGCTGCGATGTGGCTGTGCCATGCTAGGGCTGAAGTATGGGGCTAATCCCCGCGTTCGATAGCTTTTGCGAACAATGTGGGCTGCGTCGACGAGACTTCCGCTTGAACTTCAGCGTCAGCGGCGCGTCAGCGGCGCATTCACATGCATGCCGTGACAAAGTGGGACCGGTGAGCTCAAAGCACTTTCAGGCAGCGCGCCAGCAAAGTAGTGTGCCAGCAGAAGCACCTGGACATCAGGAACACGGAACAAAAGGAGGAGCAGAACGCCCACCAAGCATGCGTACCGCGATGACATTCATCGGGGGGTTTGGGCCGATGGTCCAGAAGCTAAAGTCGCAACTCACCCGCAGTTCACCAACCCAATTGAATCAACACATCGGCTACTAGTCAAAAAGCATGTGTCCAACTATGTCTAACTACTTCAGTTCCAGCCCGAGCGCTGTTCTTTCAAGCCTCTCGCACATTTCCAACAATCTTTCATGTGAGATCCTAATCCCTTCGGCTTCGGCCCTCCGGATGCCCTCCGGATGCCTTCCGGATGTCTTCCGGATTGCCAAGCGCCAGAGCCACGAGCGACCCTTGCGACCCGCCTCATGAATGCGAAGGACTTTGCAAAAGCATTAAGTGCCCAATGCACCAAAGCATGAAAAGAAACATGCTGAACCTTTACATGCAATGGTTGAGATGAGCTGATCTGGCACCAACAGCTCGCAGCTAACGGAAGCAACAGTTCGCAGCTGCGGAAACAACCGGAGACAGCAGGGTATGGGTCTACAGCTACGTCGTAACTCCGGTGGCAGAAGCTGGGCCCGCAAATTGACAAGACACGACGACAGCTGGATACTGCTGACCCGCACGTTGCTTCAGGCGTTTGTCGTAAAAGCAGACGTACGAATGCAATACAAATGCAGAGGAAGCACGATTTGTTAAGACCAGGTGCAAAGCTCCAAGTGATTCCCTTTGGGAACCTACTTGGCGGCGGCCCGTGGTGTTGCCAAGCGTTAGAGCAAGTGTCTGATTTAGCATGTCCACAAAGTGAGAAAGGTACTTCCAACAAGTGCAACATAGTGGAGCTACATCTTGATCGTATCCGCAACAAAGAACAAGTGCAATTACTATGTAAGATGCTGACATCTGAGGTACGTAGCGTCATGGCCATCTTATTTTCAGGGAAGATAACACAGGGGATGGGACCAGGACGCTATTCCAATTAACCTAACCTAGCGGGCTTGTCTCAAGTGAAGTATGTCAAGTTAGCGGACGTGGAGACGCAGCTGCACGCATCATGTTCATGATTTTGCCGGTGCAGGCGGACTTTGTGAATGTTGGAAGTGGCATTCTTCCACAAGGGTTTGCTTGAGCATGCTGTGATGTTCAACTCTCGGGTCGCCTTTTGCTCGCTGGCCACATCTGGCCACGTTGCAGAAGCAGGGCAAGATAGGGCAAGGGTGGTGGAGGATGGAGGAAGTGTACAGAATAGAGTCGCGAGAGCCTTGCAAAGAGTGCAGATATCAGGTCAGGCTTGAGCAAATGATCCTCTTGCCAGTACTTTGTCTGCCTGCTTTCCTTCAACACGCTTGCTCATGCTTGCTCAAAAGTCTCGCAAGGCAATGTGCTCAGGGGCGACAATCCGCGAAAAGTTCGGGTGTGGTATCTGGCACGGTTGGAGTATGGATAAGAGAACCTGTGCTCATGATCCGGAGCGACCTGGTCAAGAAGGAAACACAACCTGGAGGACGGTGCTGGACAGCAATGGCGCATCGAACAAGCGAACAGGAGATGGAGACCATCTGCTGCACTGGCACAAAGTAACCCCCTGTCCAACGCCAAGTTATTGGCCTTCGATTCGAGGCGATACACGGGCCCTTTCATTCTTTCATTCCTGCTGTGGTTTTGACCGGATGCACATTTGCCTGGTATCTGGTGTTCTGCATCCTGAAGTGCACCAGATCCTGGTCCGATTGCTTGGCAGAAGAAAGAAGATGATGAGTCATGAGCATTTCACTTCTGGGAAAATCAGCCCCGGCGATTTATGTGTAACACTGAGACTATTCTTCATGTGCAAGCCAGACATCGTCAGATGAATAACAGACGGGACCGGATATTTTCGAAGATCTCTGCTGTGCTGGGCCATCTTGTGCCAGGCAATCGGGGCGAGAAGCTTCTGCAGGCATAAATTTTGCAGGACTTGATCCTAGCACACGGTGCGCAGTTTCTGAAAGCCGATGGTGAGAACCCAGGCAAAAAGTCCGCATGTCCATGCATCTGTCCATGATGCCGCAGAACTCCATGCTTCGCAGCTGGGATTCGGGACCAGTGTTGCTCATGATATCAGGACCAGGCGCTTCAGAAGCGGCCCATGTCTTTTTGGCAAGGCACCTGCAGGCGCACTCCTGAAGCAGGAGCTCTGCAAACTCTTCGGCGTTGCACATGGCTTCATGAGTCAAAAGTACCAGGTCGCGGTACATGTATCTCACTCTCACGAGGAGATGTGGTGTTGCTGACAAACTCAGTCGTGGGCGAAGTGTGGATGAACTGCCAACTGCCCTCCGGCCAAACTGGTGCATCTTCAGCAACGTGTTTCGGATCGAGGAAACCTCAACTTTTTGTAGAGGCTTCCTGTGTTTGGTCTGCATGGGCCTTTTAGAAGCAGACGGCAAGATCCTTGTTGTGCCCTGAGCAGCTGGAAAGAAGCCGGCGCAAACACTTGCTCTCTGAATTGACTTTACAGGGTGGTGGTTTCCGGCTTCGTGTTTTTTAAACGATTTGTGGCTTGTAAACTTCAGATTTCTCGCTTTCAAGTCGAGTTGTTGGTATGTGCAACTCCGCTAAATCCACTTACCTATCACTTCAGATTGACTACACTTACAGAAGTTTACGTATTACACGTTTCTATTGATGTTCGCCATGTTGCACTTAGCTATCTCATGCAACATGTGTATGTACCTGGCAAACCATGTATCTCCCTCTCTCCATTATATACATATATACTACCCCCCCCCCCCCCCCCACGGGCCGCCAAGCATGGAATGGACAATCGACTCCACACTTCGTGGAAAGTCGAATCTGCTTGGAATGCGAAGAACACAAGCATTGGTGTCGCTGGTGTTCTGATTGTCGTGACACGTGCTGCAGAGGTTCCAACTTGCTCATGATCAGGTGCAAACTGGTGCAAGCAAACAAGTTCTTACGTTCTCAACGTGTGTGAAACGGCTCTGCTGGATGCAGCTGGGAAGGCTTCGGTGGCGACGTGGCAACGCGCACCTCTGGGCTTCCGTGGAAGCAAAAATTGTAGCTCCGTTGCCAAACCACGGCTCAGTCATCCTTCAAAGCTATCAGCTGGTCTGCTTTGTCAATGTCGCAGGGTCGAAACACCTGCCAGCGTGGCTCACCGTGAAACCTATCACCCGTCTGATTCAGCTTCTGATGCATTCTACCCATGTCTCTGCCAGTTCGCAGGTTCTGAGGTGCCGAGCCAGCTCACGCAAGGACACGGACTCCTGACTGTTCGACTCGAGCAGCGTTTCGTTGCAAAAACCCGTCTCCGTATGTCTCCGTGTCATTCTCAGAGATGGGAGGATCTGGAGAAGAGTTGGCGCTCTGTCTACCTCCCTCCTCGCCCCTGAGAAAACGCAAAGAAGGGATCATAAAAACTGGTTAGCCTGTGCAAATCTCAGATTTGGCTCGCTGCCTGGCTCCAGGCTCGTGCGCTATTACAGGTTGGAACTTCAACAACTGGCTTATCTGTGCTGTCCCTGCTTGTGTGCTGACTTCCCGAGGCATACCTGTCATGGGGTCTATGACTACAAGCGCGAAGTTTGCGCATACATCGAAAGATATTTTAAAAGCAAGTCTGCCCAGCCAACTCAGCTGCCACAGTGCGTTATCGGTGTACAAACAAGATGACGACTGGTCCTCCTCAGCCTCTTCGGTCTTGTTGTGTCTCAAAATGTGGCCCAGACGTTCCTTCCAAAAGGCAAAAAGCAGCATGTGACCACACAGACACGGCTGCAAAATGCAGTCCCGGTGACCTTCACCATATCATCGTTGTGGTTCTCGCGGAGATGTCGCACCACATGCCACATACGCTTTGCCTCTCAAGGCACGCCACGTTCACTGACATTGTAGTACGCCAAGAAGGGCCGTGCAGTGCCCGTTAGCTTGTTATAATAGAACTCAACTAGTAACTAGACGAACTCAACTAGACGCCTGACTTCCATCATAGAACAGACTAAGTTGTGGCTGTCGCCGCCATTTCCTTTGCTGTTGCCGCTGCTGCTGTTCCAGACTTACGTCCGAGGGGTTGCGGGAAGCCCCTCCCACAATCTGCTGGTCCTGTGCTGCGCCTGTGCAACACAGTCTTGCAGCGGAAGACTCCAGAAAACAAGCCCATTTGTGCGTTGAGTCGGTGACCTTAGTAGGCTTGGTTGCTTTCTGTTGCTTTTCCACTTGGAGTTTGCTTTAGTTTGTTTGATGTTTGTAGCGGGAAAACATGTTGTACAATGCGGGACGCTGCACTGTGTTGCAGAGAGCTGCTTGTTTTTGCTGTCGTTCCAGCTGGCTCCGCTGGCAGTGACGCTGATGCTCAGAGGCCATGGACCCAAGTTCGCGCGGCGCGGCTGCAAAAGGCGCTTCTTATTCTTCTTCTACTTCTACTTCTACTTCTACTTCTACTTCTACTTCTACTTCTACTTCTACTTCTACTTCTACTTCTACTTCTACTTCTACTTCTACTTCTACTTCTACTTCTACGGGGCTTGAGGAACCCAGAGAACCCCCCGCACGCTGGGCGCGCCCAGATCAAGTCCAGTCTCGGTGAGATTTATGCAGCGAAGGTTGTGTCCAGACTGTTTGGCGTTCCCCCTAAAACCTGTCTGCGACACTTCATTGCCCCGCTGGTGAGACCACCGGGCAGCTCTGTATTTTCCACTTCTCCCTAGTATCCCGTAGCATCGTAATCACTAGGCATGCTCCGGCCATCATGTCTACTCGCTCGAGTGGTGGATAGTTTTCCCGCTTTTAATTAAAGGCCTCTCTCTCTCTCTCTTTTGCTTTGCTTTGCTTAGGGGCATAGGGACGGACCCTGCGCCAAGGCGCGCCCCGCTCCCGCGTCACGTGAGACTTTTAAGATGTCCCTGACTGCCCTGTTGGCAGCCGCGCGGCGCCCCCAGTGGCACCTTAGTGGGTGTCCTTAGTGTCCTAACCGGGCCAGCCCCCGTAAATCCCATAGCCCCTCTTCCCTGAACTCCCCAAGTCCCCACAAACCGCCTCAAATTTTCGAAAAGCCAACCTCCCCGCCCCCCGGACACCCCTCGGTTCACGACACCCCTGGGAGCTCTGTACTGCTACTCTGACCGCGCTCACGCTCCCCTTCACCTCAGGCCCCCAGTTAGGACTCCAAGTACCTACACCCCACAACATGAACCCTACATCTAGGCCATCAACCCCGGGGTTGCGTGGTGACATCCGTGCCCCTACGTTTCTGGGCCATGTTGTCGTGAAACTAGCTGCCAGGCCCCACTTTACCCAAACTCACGCGACCCCTACACAGCCCCCAACCTCTTCTACTTCTCGGGCCCCCGACTTAGGAAACCATAGTCTTTAATCTCTCTCTCTCTCTCTTCAGGCACATCATGCACCCCAATGGAACTCCACAGTGGCTGCCAAGAAGCAGCCTGGGTGAACCATTAGACATGCTGTGATGCTGCTAGCGCCAGCTGCAAATTTGCTGAATCATGCTGGCCTTTCAGCCAGCTGTATGTATCTGTATGTGCAGGGGGCCGGGCCTCTGCCAGCTGTGTTGGAGTGAACCCACCGGCATTTGTGGTTTCTTTGGCATCAGCTCGCAGTAGAAGCCGCACCACCTTGCAACAAAGAGCATGCAAACGCCATCTGTAGAAATGCGCTTGGGATCCGGGCGCTTCGCGGCTGCCCCGATTCAGCTTCCACCACTTGAGTGAGGTAGTATGTGACAATATGTGACAATAGATATTACGGGGAATTCAGCTGCCAGCAATATCCTGCAATCACCGGCAATGGCAATGCCTGGTAGAATTTTCACATGGCTTCCGTTCTTCGCGCGCTCCCCTTGCGCAAATTAACCGGCACGTGGCCGAAATCACCGAAGGCACGGACTGGTCAATGCAGCGGCAGGCACCTCTGTACATCGGGTGTCGACAGGCATCATATATCAAGATAAAATGCCGATACTCAGTCCGTCTCACCTAGACGCGTCACCTTCTTGGGATCGCATGCGGGCAAGTAAGACCTCAATGCGCTCGTCATCATCCAGCTGCACAGACTGCATGCTCGCAGACTTGCAGCACATATCAGAATCGACATGTTCGCTCATCTGATGTGCTTCATTGGTCACATCCCGCAGCTGACGGCTTTCATCTGCTTTGTGTCGCTGAGGAATGCTTGCTGGCAGCTGCACGCGCTGAAGGGCACTGCTGAGCTGATCGAGGAAGTGGACCCAGTTTCCAAGCCACTCAGCAGGGCTTGTGCCTGGCTTAGCACTAAGCCAGCCCATGGTAAACTTCAAGTCCTCCTTGGCGGCAGCAACTCGCTGGGAGGTCCTCTCAACCTCCTCACAGATCTCAGAGACCCTCACAGCTATATGTGCCGCAGATGGATCCTGCAAGTACTGGGCCAAGCCACCGTGGGCGCGAGATGCTGCAAGCCAAATTCTCTGGCAGCTCTTTTCGGCCTCTAGCATGCAAACACCTTGGGCCGCACGCACGCTTTCACGTAGATCTGATGCCTGCGCGCAAAGCTCAGCACTGAGCTGCTGTGCTTGCTGCTGCCCGTAGTTGCATTGACAAACAGCCTCAAGCAGGATAGCTTCGGCTACAAAATCCAGCAGCGATGGCCCCGACACTCCCTCCATATCGCTGTTTCCACGCAGCTCATCTAGTTTCAGCAGTCCATCTGGTAGCACTACGGCTCTGGCACCATCACGAGGCGTGCCACGATTCATCGCATTGCCGACCGCAAGACACGTGCTGATAAATTGCGAGATCAACTGCGAAGTTCTCAAAGCTTTGCAGGCCGCGAATATGCGTTTGCATGCCAGGCCCAAGTCTGGCAGCTCCGGCGCCAAACCAAACATCAAAGCACCACATGCAACCTTTGCTGCGCACAAAGGTCTGTTGGCCAACACCCACAAATATCTTTCTGGTACGTCGAGCTGTAGAATTTCAGATTCAGGAATGTCCATGTGTCGAAGCTGCTCAACAGCTTCCTTCTGGTCAACCGATGCTGCGTTGAGAGCTATCAATGCTTCTGGTGGCAGGCCGTCGGGAAAAGCATCCAAACTCTCCACGATTTGTGCTAACTGCTCAGCTGGAGGCAGCTTGTTGAAGGCAATGGCAAGTAGTTGGGAAGTCCTGTCATCCAACACTCGCACCTTCTTTCTAACTTCATCACTGCTTGCGAGACCTGCTCCGCCCTTGCGAGCGGTCAGCGAAGCAAGCGGTGCTCGGGTTTCGGCTAGAGCAAAGCGATGCTCGAGCAACTCAGCATCGAATGGCACCGGCGGGCAGATCTTGTTCCAAACGCTTTCGCTGGGAACTTGGGTCACCGTCTGCCAGAAAAGCGGCCGAAGCTTCGGGCCTGCTCTGGGATCTCTGGTGCACTTGGAGCCTGGTCCGGGCCTTGGTGGTGGAGGAGCGCCGGGCCCTGGCGGTCTACCCTTTCCTTTCGGATTTCCTTTCCCTGGTGCCTTTCCGGGCGGCACTCCCTTTCCTCGCTGAGACATATGAGCGGCTGTGGTCTCACGACAGCGCTTGGGATGCTCGCTCTGCCACTTGCTTTGAGCCACGGGAAAAAAGAGCCACGATGCACTCAGAGTCACAAGATCTCATGGTCATTTCATGCAGAGCCAGCTCAGGTCCCGCAAGCCCGCAAGCTGATTGCTGTGTGCATGTTCCACTTGAAGCATGACTGCCCCTGTCTGAGTAGATGACACCAAGGTGACCAGCATATGCGCCAAGATGGAGCGGACTGTCGCCACCACCTCGGCCCGATGGACTATGGCCGGGTCGTGATTTGCCCCCTTCTGAAGTACCGGGTGGCGGCCTCTCTTGTGATCTGGAGGGCAAGAGTCGCGTGAAAGTGAAGATTGATGAAGAATGTGAGAGTAACGACTTAAACCGACTTTTAGTGACTGCGAAAAACGGCCTATACAGCACTGTACGTACGGTGTGTACGTCAACTCGCGCAAGGAATGGTCTTGTAGGGTGTTGCTCGAGTATTTGCTGCAGTGTTGAAAGTGCACACACCAGCACACGTCAGCACACGTCAGCACACACCAGCACACATCAGCACACACCAGCACACTCACACACACCAACACACACACACACAAAAAAAAAAAAACACACACACACACACACCAGCACACACACCAGCACACACACCAGCACACATGCCAACACACACCAGCACACACACCAGCACACAGACCAACACACCCCAGCACACAGACCAACACACACAAGCACACACACACACCAACACACACCAACACACAGCAACACACACCAACACACAGCAACACACAGCAACACACAGCAACACACAGCAACACACAGCAACACACAGCAACACACAGCAACACACAGCAACACACAGCAACACACAGCAACACACAGCAACACACAGCAACACACAGCAACACACAGCAACACACAGCAACACGCAGCAACACGCAGCAACACACACCAACACACACCACACACACACACACACACACAACACACAACACACACACAACACACACACACACACACACACACACACACACACACCACACAACACACACACACACACACACACAACACACCACACACACACACACACACACACACACACACAACAACACACAACACACACACACACACACACACACACACAACACACACACACACACACACACACACACACACACACACACACACCACACACACACACACCACACACACACACACACACACACACACACACACACACACCACACACACACACACACACACACACACACACCAACACCAACACACACACACACACAAGCGCAGCGCGCACGCCCGCCACGCCCGCCCGCACGCCCGCACACACGCACGCCCGCCCACACGCCCGCCCGCACGCCCGCCAGCACGCACGCACGCACAGCGCACACGCCGCAACTTGCACCGTGTTACGAGCTTATCGTCTGGGCTCGGTGCCATCTTCTTGGGCAACATTGAGTTGCTCGCGGTATTCTGTCAGCAAATATTGCCTTGACCCCGGGTAGAGGCAACACACTGTATGTCTTCTGAAACAAAGCGCCCAATCAACTGAGCGCATCTCATCAAGCTATTATTGCCAGATAAAGCTGTCCAGTGCAAGACCTCGGGCTTCGTGCAAGCAAGGCTCATCAAATGCTACTTTGCCGGAAGATCCGGAAGCTCAGCTAAGTCTACCGTGTGTTGGGGTGGCAAGTTTGATTCCTCAAGAAGGCTAGCTGCTGCTGGCTGCACCATTGCGATTGCAAACAGCAACTGGCAGCCGCACCCCTCTACCAGAGTTGTCTCTCTCAGAGATGTTGGCTGCTTGCGAAAGGCAGAACCTGGCCATTGAAGCATCCAGTTACAGTTCCCCAGTTCCCATAGAATACAAGCTCAGGGAAGCTTAGGGCATCTCAGGGATGAATAGCTGGTTCCAGGCCAAGGTATTCTGTAATTCTGCCAGACTGGCATAGCAAGCTCCAGGGAACCAGTGCGTGCTGCTCGCAATAGAAGCGTCGCGCCATCCCACCTGACAAGCATGGGGAACTTGGTCATTGCTCGGCACATAAACAATATGTGAGGGATGCATCTTGGGCATGCTACTGGCCACCAAGGTAGCAGCTCCGGATTTCTCCAATCAATTTTGGCCCCTGTCTTGAGGGCCTCACGGCTGCCACAGCAGGTCGTGCTCTGCAGTAGAAAGAAAAGGGAATTGCTTAATTTTTCGGCCTTCTTGACAGACGGAAAGTTGCTGTCGGCCTTGTTTAGCTTGGCAAGGAAAGCCTGCAGGGAGCTTGCCCGAACGTGAGCCTGCAATATCTGCCGCCCGATCAGTGACCTGATTGTTTGCTCCGGGCTCTTCCTTCTGCAGCCTGCTGATCTCATCCTGAGCGAAGGTCGAGCGAAACAAGCGAAACAAAAGCGAAAGAGTTTCCGTACTCAGACATCTGAGCATGCATTCTCTGAATGACGGGGACCTTGATATATTTCTCGCTCCCGTGCACAGCTGTCCAAAGCTTTCTGCACGCTGCTTCAACCTGTGAAGGTACCGTATACGCGTAGAAAATCATTCAACATGACCAAGCCGGTCGGTGTTGCAACGCTATGCACAGCTCTCCTGCTTCTCTTTGAGGTCATCGGCTGAAGTGGAAGATGAGATCTGAAGGCCACGTTTTCGGCACAGCACTTGCCGGGAGACTGCGCGTTCAAGGCCCTGACTGTCTTCAAAGCAAGTGAGCTCCTGAATGCAACAAGCGTGCACTGTTGGGCACCTGTGCACTCTAGATCCGCATAAATGTTCTGAGATGTGCTCCTGGCCTTGATGCCGTAAGGCCAGGCAAAGTTGAGGAAACGTGCCAGGTCGGAGGCAACCTCCAGCACATTTGCAAATGGCTGAATCGAATGCGTCGAATCGTCGGCCACGTCCCAAAAACTCCTGTCACCGGTATTCACCGGTGGCAGTGACGCTAAGAAGACTGCGGCTCTACTGCTGCCGGCCATTTCTCGACCTGTGCCGCTGTGCGAACTTTGACTCATATTTGCGTGATCGCATCAGAAGCTGAGTCTGCATGCTGTACGCGAACCCAAAGTTGGAACTGAGCGCGTCCGCGTCCTTGCAAATCATGCTGCAGCCGTGCGGGCTTGTTCCACTATTTCCACTAGGCAATGCTTTCAAGCATGGGGCTAGGGCAGCGACATGGACGTCAGCCTGAGGTCTGTGAAGCTCATGGATGGGCTAAGCGGTGTGGTCCTGCCATCTTCAGGTGACATGCTTTTTCTACCTGCCGCCGTTGCGTGCGCGGTGTTGTTCAAACTGCACTATTGACCTCCCAAAGCTGCCAGTCTTGACGTTGGAGGAACGCGATGTGCCCTGGTGAAAAATGCAGAAGCTGTGCAAGCCTCGCGCGACACAAGTGACAATCCTGCCTTCTTCAGGACACGGCATCCACTACTGCGGGCAAACGCCTCGAACCCACCTGAGGGGTCGCCCAGCAGGTGCACACAACCAACAAATGAAACACATGAAACAAATAAGTAAACTTTGGCTGCTTTGCGCTGTGCTTCGACCTAAACCCTCCTCTACGCAAGTACCGAATGTTGGCGAGGGACCGGTCTCAGCAACGGCTGCAAAAAACTCTGGCGATTCCTTTCGAGGATCGTTCGCGCAGCTTTGTGGGGGCCCGTTGGAGGCAACTTTCGAGGTCAAAAAACAAACCCATGCTTGCAGATTTAGGCGTGCTAATTCGCACAGACAATGTTGTGAAACGTTTGGGGCCCCTCCACCCGCGCAATCAGTTGTGCAAGACGAGCCTACACAGCAGCTTGGTTGAACAGCAAACACGCAAAACTCTTGCTGAGAAATGCTCCCTATCGGACCAAAGGATTGCACCAAAGAGGGCCTGGGCGGGATGGTTGGGTAATGTATGGTAATGCCACAATGTCTTCACATATCTTCAAGCCAGTGCAGGCTGGCAGCCCGAATGCCTTTTCAGCTTAGGAACACGTCTCCGGGGCGGGCTGCTCCGTCAAGGCTCTTACATCTCTTCTGTGCGTCACTGCGCAATACTGCCCATGCTCTCCATACGTCTCCAGCCAGGGGTTGTTGCCACGCATGTTGCAATGCTGCAAACCCTTCATGCGAGAGTGATGGAATCTTCGCGGCGTGCCATCCCTGCAGGACCGGATGAGGGGGTTACGAGCCAGGGCGGGATGGGCCAGGGCCTTTCCAAGGCACTTTTGGCTTCAAAAGCGCCATCGAAAAGGCCTTCCCAAGCTGTGAGGGCTCGGACTTATTCTGGGGGTGTCGCTTTTCAGGGGTCCTGCCGCTTTACAGGGTTTTGGTGCGTTGTGTCCCGCTCTAAGCAATTAACTCACAGAGGCTCACATTGACATAATTTCCACACCTGCTTTCTCCAAGTACCAGTCCCCGTGATCGAATATTCGCCGCGAAAACAACAGCACACACACAACACAAATCAACATGCACGGGGGTCTGCTTACTCGCGCAGCGTGGCGCGGAGGGGCGAAGCTCCCCTGCGAAGAACGCAGGTCGCCAAGTACGCCCGAAGTATCCCCAAACATGTCAAACTATGTCAGCCTTGCCTGGTTTGAACAGGCCCAGAACTACCCACAACAACCCAGAGGCGAGATGCACAACACGAAATGCAACACTCAACGCATGAGAGCCCAATCTCGCAGGATCATGCAAGCGATGTCCTTTCGCAATATAGTGCTCTGCCCCAAATCCTGCAACCAGCGCACGTGTAGGAGCCTGCGTCTATCTCAGCAGCTGGTCTGAGTACGAGGCAGGACGGTAGACTTCTGCGTAGTCTGGTTCGGTCTGCTCAGTGCCAGCTCCGGTAGTGGCAAGTTTCGCCTGCAACTTGGAATCCGTCTTAACTTAAAGTACATACTATATACGAAGTAGCTGCTGTCCATCTTTGACTAGTGACTAGGCGACTCCATCAAAGCGAGCGCGTACCAGGCTTCTCACACACTGCTGCATTGTGTGACGCGGCACTTTATGGTGAGATTTGGGCGAAGGTAATCACCAATACCACCGGCACTCATAGAATACAAACGACCTACCAAACTTGTAAGCAAGCCTGCCGCCAATACCAAGGCAACAATGTTTCACTAACTAAATACATGGTTTGCAAAGCAAAGGTGCGCTGCAAGAGTTGATTGCGCAAGCTTGTGCAACCCATGCGAAGCGAACATGTCTCCCGCTGGGCGTCACACCCGAAGACGAGGGAGAGAATAGTCGCCGGACCATTTTAGCATCGGCCTGCGGAAGCCCACTGCAAGGACAAGCGTGCCAGATATTGAAGCTTTGGTCACGTTTAGTCAGGTGGCAGCAATGATCAGGTGGCTGGGCATTTTAGTGCTTTAGCAACGAGTTCGGTTGAACCTGACGATTGATTGTCCTTGGTCGCTTACCATACTTTCAGGTCCATGTCAAGCTGCATCAAGCGACATGATGAAGGATTTCATGAAAACGAACTCTCAAACAGGTTCAAAACTAGGGCATGTCACAAAAAGTTCGGTCTGGGATAGCTGTGATTGGATCCCCCTGGTGATCGCAGTTGTACAGTCTGGCTTGCAAGGCCGCACCGGTGTAGTTGTGACTGGACTGGCCTGGGTTGTCTTGCTTGTAGCAAAGCCCCGAGTCACCAGTGTAGTGGTGGTTGGATTCGCCTCCTGGTTGTCGCGCTTGCAAAAGGCACATAGCTACCGAACATGCATGTGTATGCCGTCCGGCGGTTCGTGTGGGTTCGGCGAGACCACCATAGTCATCACATCAGTGGACAGAGCCATCGCGGTGGGTGATGGATGGTGGATCCTTTCTTGCCCTCGCCCTTGGAGCCATATCCCTTCCTTTCTTGCCGCTCAACGGGGAAACCGTCCAGGAAGTCACAGACGGCTGCGGCTCCCAAAGCGTCCCGCTGAAAAAGCTGCGTGCTTGTGCCCAAAACGTCCCAAAACATGGCGCTTGGCACCCGCACTTTCCGAAGCACTGTCTTTAAGACTTGTGGGAGACAATGTCACTGCACCATGCTGCCGACAGTACTCCGAGCCTCTCTATGAATTCATTCACGGCCGCCCTGCTTTCGCTAGTACGGGAAGTGTAGGCCATACAAGACGCATTCACTCGAAATCCTCCCTGACACGACGACGGGGATTGATGAACAGTCCGGCCACGCGGGCGTTTCACCATCCCTTCCGCACTTCCAGGACTCGTTCTTCCCAGTGGTCATTGGTCACTTCGCCAGCCTTCCCCACAGAACTAGATCTAATTCTGCCGGTTGCTTCGCACTCCGGCCCGGCTTCTTGCGGCGTCCGACGCTCTGCTACCACTGCTGCCAGTCTCAAGAGGAAGCTGCCACAGGTACTTAATCACGGGATGTCGTTTCTCGGATCAAGTTTAACGTTCAACATAGCGGCTCCAGGAGCGCTCCCAGCGCGTACCCCGATGCAAGACCAAAAACACAATGCCGTAAGAATAACATGTACGCCATGCCCTGGTTGAGAATCTGTTTGGTTTGGGTTTTCATGAAACCCTTCACAGCACTGGAGGAACAACACAGTGCTGAGACCCACGAAGCTTTAAAAACACATGCAGCTGCTCGAAGCATATGTGCCTTGTCGGGCCTTGCTCGTTTCGCGTGCTATGCGCGCTCTGATCTTGAGCATTGAGCCGACAGTGTCTGTAAGTGCCAGGGTGCCAATGTCGGAGCGCAGGGAAGCGCCGCAGTCCAAGGTCTGCAAACGCTCGCAAAACATGCGAAACACGTTTCTTCGCAGCTCTGCTCCTGTTTTGAGTCCAGTGAGGGAGAATGCCTGTATGGGGCACAGATGGCCAGATGTGCTGACTCGGGAATGAAGCGAACGAACTCAGGAAAGATTACAAACATGAGTAAAATGTGGCAAGGTTGGGAGAAGCACTGGCAGTCATCAATTCTGTTGTGCGCTCGTGTCCGCATCTGGACACGGCAATTCACGACTCATCTCCAAGGCTGCTCGCAAACATTCCATGAGCCCTAAACTTGAGACCCGCTTGAGCTGTACGCGTTCCAGGCTGGAGCCTGAACCGTACCTCTTTTCGGGATGTTCCCGGGGCCTCACAATATCCTAGTGATACGTTGAAGAGCCACAAGCGTGCTTGTTACAAGCATGCTTGTGCAGCTCCACGCTCCGCCACCTCGATGAGGACTGTCACTGAGGGTGTACCTGTCGTTGCTACTGTTGATGACTGTTGATGGCATGATACCGCATGCGTGTGAATCCTGTATAATCCTGTAGGTTCTGCCTGCAGGTGGTCCTGCAGGGCGTTGGTACTTTGTGATGTATGTCCAGGTCACTGGTAGGCCTCCAGGCAGTCACGTCGCAAAATCGGTCGCAAGTTTGGCTTCCAATTCTTGCGCCCCACAAGCAGCCCGCGCCCGAGCACGTCTAACAGCCTTCGGCATTATCATGCAGCATCTTAACTCGCAGCTTCTCCTCAGCATGCTACTCTCTCTTCTCCCCAAAGTGGTTGTTGGCTGCGCAAGCTGGGCTGGCCACATGTCTTGCCTTCCTTTCTCTTGCCTTTGCCTGTCGAAGGTGCTTCTGCCATCTATGTCCTCTCTTTAATATGCTTATCTCGACAGCGCAGGCCTTGCTTTCGACCTCAGCTGCAGTCGGTACGTTTCACGGCTCGACTGAATGCTGGTTTCTCTTCCCCGAATCTGTTCCAAGAAGTGCGCGGGCAAACTTGTCATTCTCCAAATTGTATGCCTGTCTCCGGCTCGAGCTTACTGCTGTGCCCCCTTGCTTCCTTAGTCTGATCGAAGGGATCGCTTGAGGCCGCCAAGCATGCGTCAGTCATGCTTCGGTACTTGTGCTGACCTTCTATCTGGCTTGCTCATGCAATGCCTACACTGGCCTACACTTGACATTCTTGGAAAAATTGAGTTTCGTGCAGCATGCATCCATTTTCCTGGTTTTGCATGACCCCGGAGTGCCCCGGATCTGGTGGGGGGGAATAGGACAAAAGGGGGAAGCGGAAGCTTCTTTCGGACCCTCTTTGACGCCCACCATTCGCAAACACAATACTCACATGAAGGGATTGCACAGTTTTTTGATGGCGTGAGTTTCTTCATAGCAACCTTTGGTGGTGCATTGTGTGTGTGTGTGAAAAAAGCCGAGTGCTGTGTGGTGGTGGCGTGCGGGCGTGGTGGAGTGTGGAGTGGTGTGGGATGGCTTGTGGGGGGAGTGCGGAAAGTGGTGGAGTGTGGTGGCGGTGTCTGGTGGTGCATGGTGGAGGGTGGCGTGTGACGGCTGGTGGCGTGGGGTTGTGTGTGATGGTGTGTGGAGGGGTGTGGAGTGGTGTGTGGTCTGTGACGGCATGTGATGGAGTATGTTGATGGCGGTGGTGGGTGATGTGTGCTGTCGTGTGGTGGAGTGCATGCGGAGTGTGTTGGTGGCGGTGGTGGGTGGTGGTGAGTGGTGGTGGTGGGTGGTGGGTGGTGGTGGGCGGTGGTGGGCGGTGGTGTGCGGCAGTGGGCGGCAGTGGGCGGTGGTGGGCGGTGGTGGGCGGTGGTGGATGCTGGTGGGTGGTGGTGGGTGGTGGTGGGTGCTGGTGGGTGCTGGTGGATGCTGGTGGGTGCTGGTGGGTGGTTGCTGGTGGCTGGTGGTGGCTGGTGGCTGGTGGCTGGTGGCTGGTGGTCGGTGGTTGTTGTTCTTGTGTTATCCTTGGTGTTGCTTCGTGTCCTTCTCCTTGTTAGCAGCCCCAACCCCTCTCCAGGGAACTGCAGAAAGTTGAGATGGGCGCATGCTGGGAACATGGGGCGCTTGGGCATTCACCCTTTTAAGGATCAAGCTCCAGCACCCAAGTGCACCCAACATATTATTCAGTGAAGTCGCGACTTCTTGCTGTGGGATGCAGTCCGATCCTGTTCAGTTACAGCATACTATGGCAATTTGGCGCATGCATTTGTCACATTTGTATTCATTGTTGCATTAAGGGATGCAGCATGAGGCAGCTACGAGGGCTATTGGACTGTGTCCTCCTTGCTGTGCCGCCCTCCGCGTCCACGACCTACACCTGCCCTGCCCCGACCTCGGCCACGACTGTTCCCTTCAGCCTGGCGGAACAAGCCATGAACACAGATATGGGCATCTTGAAGACACATACAGGCGTGCTTTGCCTGATCTTCCTCTCGATAGGGTCGAAACTTCTTGATGGAGACCATGCGGTTCAGCTCCTTTCCTGACCACGTGGCACTGTGCGACAACCTGTATCGGTCGTTCTGCAAGCGTGGAAATGTGTGTCCATTGTGTGTCCCACCTGTCTTGGAGAGGATGACATGTGCAGGAATGCCATAGTCTTTCGGCTCCACTTTGCGATACTTGAACCTCGTAGGCAAATCTCCACCGATGATGTCCTTCCATGCTGGCAACTCATTCAATCATTCGCTTTGCTGGGAGTGTGCGCATAGACTAGACTGAAAGCCGACACTGGTCAATCATCAACCATGTGTCGGAAACAAATGAAACATCGGAGCAGCAGAACGAGTACTCTGCATTCTGATGTGAGAGTGGTATGGGCAAGGCGCGGACAGAGCAGACATGCAAACCCAGCTTCTAAGCGTCACATACTCCTCAGGTTGCACTAAAACGCTGGACTTTTTTCTCAGATTGTCTCAGTTGTTGTCCGTGCAGTGCGAAATGCCGAAGGTTCACGCTGGCTTCTCCCCACCCGCAGTGTGGGTTAAGTTTTGACAGACAGAGTTGACCTAGTGTCCTCGCTCGGTTTCTCACGTTCCTTGCTCTGGTCACCTGTCCCTACGTCTCGTATCCCGAATCCACAAGAATCCAGCAGAGCAATTGTCCCTGGAGTGCTTGCGAACTGAGCTTGTCTAACAACCTCGTCCACTCATTCATGTGTCACCGCGGGATACCGCGGGTTTTAGTCGTGATGTAGTTTGGGAGGGTGCCGACGCTGCGTTCTCTCGGCAGCAACGTGCGCATATAGCAGGGTCGGATGTACAAGGTGTACAAGGTGTTGCAAAGTGTTGCATCGATGCAGCGGGAGATTCTTGCGGCAGCGCTGCTCTTTGCTGCTCTTTGCTCTTTGAAAATCAAGGGCATGACTGGAGGTGGTGCCCGTGCCGAAGCTCAAAATCGGCAATTCCCACAAGCCATCAAGTCCTCATAGTCAAGCTGAAAGTACTCGTCCAGCATGTTGCCTGAACCTGGGGCATGTGGATCACTGAGGGCAGCAAAGCCGTGCCAACTGCAACATGCGCCTGCATCACCAGTTTCGACCTGCGCGCCCTTCAAGTCCTGCAGCTACGAGCATTGGTGCCACTCAAGGATCTACAGACTGGGTGTGCGTCCTCCGGAGGCATGCAGTTTTCGGGCACACGTCTCCGAACAAACGCGTGAGGATGCCGTCGGATCCGAAAACATTTTGCACACAGCCTGGGCACGAAGGGATACTAAATCTTGGCAATACTACGTCTGCTCTGGGGCTTCAGCGTATAGTTCTCGCAGACTTTGCAATCCTGGAGTGCAACAACCGACTGAAAGTCATAAGTCTTCGATCATTGCGTGTGACTTGGAAAAGCTCAGACTTTGAGCTGTCCGACGCATTAGAATGTGGCCCAGAAGTCAACCGAAACGAATCGAACCGAGCTGCAAAGCGGCGCTTTCCACCTGGAATCGGCTTTTGGCATCCGTCGCACAGAAACCACAAGTCGGGGTGCACCTGTGCATCATTGTACATCAAAGACAGTGCGATCATTCCAGGGCTGGGTCTTGCTTGAGACCGCCTCTTCGTCGTTTTCATCGCAATCTTCCTCTTCTGTGTTCTTATCCCATCCCTGCAACAAAATTTCCAGTGCAAGTTGAACAAGCGAACCAAGCAAAGTCCACAGTTAGCAGAACGAGTAGTAACTGGCCAACATTGCCTGTGTCACAGCAGCCGTTTCGGAGTCCTGTGACAAGTTGCAGGTAGATCGGGCAGCTTCTTCGGAGCGATGGCATTCAAAAGACTTGCTACACTCTTGCTGCTCAGCCCCCAACAGATGCTTCTCTGTTTTGTTCATCAATCAATGAACGCCAATCGAAATTGATCATTCCAATGACATTTATAGTGAGTGATCCACGAAACGATTTTCTTAATTAAACGTTATGCCACGCAGCGCAAAATAACTTACTGGACCACTCCACAAAGTCTCATGGTCACCCCGGAAGGAAGTCTTAAAAAGAAGCTCGCCCGCCGCAGCTTGGGAAAAATGGCAGCATGATAATTCTGGAGACCTCAAGACACAGATAATTGGTTCCGCAGCATGCCTTATGTGTCCCTATGCCCATTCCTGCCAGACCACAAGTTCTGTATTGCTTGGCGACCGCTGACGCACACCGTGCACCACACATGTGTCCTCAGCCTGTGAACCGACACCCCAGTGTTTCCTTGGAAGATGCGCGCCAATGTGGGTTGGAATAAGGGGTCTCAAGCCACTACTGCCGTACGTTGCCAACCCAGCAGCCGCAGACCCTCAGTTGGAGCTTCCGAGATATCCAGGTCATTGCAGCCATCAGGCCCGCGTACGAGCTCCTCGCGGCTTCTCTGTCTCTGAAAGTTCGCGTATCGTGCTGTATGGCGCTCGTAGTGTAGCTTGCTCTGCGCCTTTGAAGTGAGCTTTTCCTCCATCTCGTCATAATCCTCGCCCAGGATCTTTGCCTTGCAATGCCGCAGCTGAGGGCATTCACTCTCCTCCAGAACTGAGGCGCCCTCCATGGTCCCATCATGCTCTGATGGATCAAAATCATCGTCCAAGTCTGCCGCACCGAGGATCGAGTCCTCGCGCAACTGAGTCAATCTGTATCCAAACAGGCACTTGCAGATCTGCAGCTCTTTTGTGGGCATGGAGGGGAATGAGCACAACACACGGGGCAGGCAGACGTCGACAAACGAAAGCCACTGTATATGATGGTATGCTCAATGCCATGGGCCAGCAGTTTGTAGTAGCGCTTCTCAGAGATGTCCTCATTGCCAGTCACCTCGCGGATTTGCTGTAGCCTGCGCTTGATTTCCTGCATAGTGGTCGCGCGGCAATCTGCACATGAGGTATGCTGACTGTGGCACCTGCTTCTTCATGTTCTTCAGCCTCTTCAATTCCTCTGCTCTGCGCACCTGCCCAACGGAAGCATAATGATCATTGGTGAACCACATCGAGGAATACGTCGGAGTATACGTCGCCTTGTCGGCTTCCTTGCGATCAGCTCGCTCCTTTCGCTGACGTTTCCGCTTGTCCTGAGAAGGCGATGCTGTAAAGCAAATGTAGCGTGGCAACACCACACTTGCTGCAGGCTTGTCTCAACCCCTAGCGCCAACCCTTGTCATCCAACAGGTCGAAGTGCATGCTATGCCGGCACAAATACTGGGTGGGAAACCGGCACACAGCACACACCAACTGCATAACAGAACTGAAACACAGACTGCGGCACACATGTTCATGCTGCAATGGTGCGTGTCAAGTCCGGTGGACAGCTGCGTGACGATTTCTGGGGCACGGACATTTCGATCCCGCACAGAATTCTCCGGAAATCCTGAGTTCCACCAAGTTGTGCAAGGTCTCGTTTTCGGTTGAGTTTCTGATACTGGGATGACTGCCCACCACAGTGTCACAACTGAGAGCAAAACTCGCGTGACCTTGTATTTGCTTACCCTCTTCTACCTTTGGCAGCTGCATCCACGCAGCAAAGCAATGCAAAGCAAAGCCGTTGCAGCAACATTCCCCAGTGCCTCAAATCGAAAATTGTATTCCTTCTCAAACTCATCCGCCTGGCCGCACACAACGAGCACGTATGAGCACTGTATGTATGTCTTGTCCTCCCAGCCGCACTACGTTATAGAGGAAGGAGCCTGGCCCAAATGTTCATCCTCCTCCTCCTCCAAGTCAAAGTCCGCAACATCTTTCTGGCAACGGTAGGAGGATGTGAATGATGTCGGTCCGGCTGTTGTGCCATGATAATACACCAACTCCAGACAGAGCTTTAAAGCTTAAGCATTGGGAAGCCAGTCCAATTCCAGTATTCTTTGGCCATGCTGTCAATTCACTTGTTTGGTGGCCCGAGGTTATCCAGCCGCTCACAATTGATACCTCACGCCCTTTTTGCACTTCTTGACCCTTGTGGTCTGTGGGTCGAGGATCCCAACTAAAGATCACGATCGTCGTATGCTCAGCCTCGGGTCGTGCTGAGATCGCGAGTGGAGGAAGTCAGGATCATTGCTGGGGACGTTTGTCGAGACCGTTGTCGTTCTTGGGGCGTCGCTGGCAGCCGCTGACCTATTAACATGACAAAAGATGACAAACAAACTAGAAACGACGACAAAACTAGCAACGACGACAAAAGATGACAAGGGTGTTTCACACTTGGAGTCTAGAGCCACAGACATGGCACCCCTGCCGGCGCAGTGCCGGACATCCACTTAATACATCTCACTGTAAGAATCACGGTCCTCCGCAACAGCCTCACCAGCGCATGTTCCGTATGGTGCCGGCATCTTTTCAAGCAAGCATTGACAGCTATTTGGATGAACTTTTGGGAGGGTGGGACACAATATTTGCCAAGAACCCTCTGGACGAAAGAGCCGGGAGCACCCTGCCATGAGCTTGAAGCGAGTCTGTTTCTAGCCACTGCCGGTTCACCACATAGTCGCGCAAGAAGCCTTTCAAGATCTTTCAAGGCTTTGTGGGGCAAGGATACCCACCCTGGCCCTTCAATGGACCATCTGCAAACACAAGAAAACTTCGCACTGAACTGTAGAGACCTACCACTTTCATCTGTTCTGGTTTTGAAGGGGGGCTATCGGAAAAAAAGAACATTCCTACTGGCACAATGAAGCCATAAAGACACATATATGATGCACATAAATTATCATATACATACTTTATAATATTATAAAACTACTACAATATCCGCCGAGGTTCCAGGCCTCAGGCGTGTAGTGCAACAGCGGTCCCAACTCCAATGCTAGCCCCTTTTTGTTGGTCCGGTGCACTGGTAGGGGTGGGCTCAAAGGCCCAATGGTCCCCTGGCCTCCGCCTACCGTATGCTTGCAGCATGGCCTTTACAGTGCCCTATCCCTACCGTAGAACGTGCGCTCATGCACTTGCCGCCATTCGCTGCAACGCTGTATTGCGCATCCGCGCCGCCAGGTGTCGGGTACTCTTTTTCTTCTACGGGGGTTGAGGCGCGCGAGCACTTCCGAGCGAAGAAGGCGCGCCCTTGTGGACCCTTCAAAGAAGCGGCTCAATGCTGCTGCAGCGGACTCGGCTGAAGACGTTTTTAGCGAAGCAAACAGCAGCCGCGCGAAGAATGTTTCAGAAACATCCCTTGCGAGCCAGTTTCTGTATGTTTCTGTTGCATCGACCGGATGTTTTGAACCTTTACAAGCCTGCCGAAGCTTTCAAAGCTTTCACGACGATCGGCTTTGCGAGAACCCAATACGCATAGCTTCAGGCGAATTCTGCGGAAGCTTTGGAATGCTTTGGAGCTGTGATGATTCCCACGATGTGGCCTATGTGGCCCAGAAACATCCAGAAACAACTCCCAAACGTTGTGCCCAGCAGCGCAGTGGCACGGGACAACGGCAGGCCGACGCGGGGTTTGAGCAGAGTCTCGGGTTTAGGGTAGGCAAGGTAGTGGGGAGTTGAGTGTTTTTAAGTGGGGTACAAGGTTGCGATAGGGTTCGGGTAGGGCTTTAGGTTTCCTTAAGGTAGGGAGGGCATAGGCCGGGTGTAGGTCCAGGTAAGTGTGGGTTGAGGGAGGGTTTAGGTAGATCTGAACATAGTACCAATCCTGCCACTGGCCTTGCTTATTGGGGGAGCCTAGGGCCCCGACGCTCTTTCTCGTCCAAGTCCTCATCACCTCTCCAGTAATTTGCCATGATCGCCTGTCAGTCCAGAATTTCGTGTGCACCATGTATAAGATGCGTACTTCATGGCCGTTTTTCTCCCTGTTCTGAAACTCTGCTACTATCGACATCCAGGGAACAACTGCCTCCGCGTTGTCTCCCTTGCGTTCTGCCATGGACTGAAACTTGGCAAACTCCTGGCGTTCCCAAGCACAACTCATCATCTTCATCATTCATGTTAGCGTTTCGAGCATGTAGGGCCTCATCCTGGCGCTGTCTTTCCTCGAGACTTTGCTCTTTGAGGGAGAACAGGTCGCCTCGACCGCAACATGTGAAGGCGCGGTGGTTGAAGTGGCCTCGTCCCTTGGCCTTCTTCTGCTGCAGTGCCGGCCGCCTTTCGAATTTCATTCTGCAAGTCACGTTGTTCCTCAGCCGGCGTCTTCCTGCTCAGCTCAAATGCGCAAGCTGAAAATGCTGACCACACGCTCGGGCCTCTGATGCTGCAACTGTAAAAAGCGAAAGTGCGAACTGAAGCGGACTGCAGTACGAACGAAACTGTGCACTACGTACTGCTTGTCACTCTTTGCACACGTGCAAAACACAACAACTGACTGTTTAAGAAGTATGGATAGCTTTTACGCGTAGCTTACAAGAGTGGCGCCTCCGTTTCTTCGCTTCCACGTCCTCTTCTTCCCTGGCGATGGCATCGGCGCCCTCTTGCATAAGCGTGGTCCTGCGCAAGCCAGAAACTAGAAAGAATATAGAGGCACCAGAGCATTTTTAGGATACACAACGGACTCGGGGATTGACGAAATTATATAAGGCAGGATGCAAGGCCTGATGAAGTTCTTGTAGGTCATTTTTTTCGTTGCAGGTTGGTTGTCTGCTTTGGTTCCAGCGAACTCCTCTCAGGCAGCACAAGTGTCACAAGCGCGAACGCCTACAAAAAGCGCTTCCGCAAATTTTCAACGTTGCCAACGAGACCCATCCGAATCCTGCCTTGAAATCATCGTCGTTGAAAAAGGACGTGTCGCCTAACGATGCCACCGTCAGTTCACCCGGGCGTTTGGCACACCAAGGTGTAGGCTGCCATGTCACGTGGCCAATTCGTGGGCGGCACGAAAACCCTCTAATTAAGTATCTGTAAGTTTTATTGTATGGTAGATGAATTTCACAAGGTGAAAAGGGAAGTGCGCACCGGCCATGTTTCTCGCAGAAGGGCTTCGAAGCCCAAAAAAAAAATCTGGTCTGAAAAGAAAACGCAGTAGGAGGTAAAGAAAACATCAAACAAACAAAATACAAGCAAATAACGTGGCACATAAAGAACAATAAACAACACATAACAGCACCCAACAACCAGAAAACATCATAGCCCAGTGCGCGTGCAAAGGGGGACCGTTAACTGATTTCTGCCACTTGCCCCGCTTGCCCCACTTGCTTTGGTTCCTTAGCGATGACTCTTTTGCGGCATTTGCCCCACATGCCCTGTCTTAACTGCTAAGCCGCTAAGCGATTTCTGCCGCTTGCCCAGCTTGCCCCACGCTGCAGGGATCTCGCCCCCTGCATTCCTGCCAAGGCAATGCAATACCAATTAATTTGCTGGGCCACCAAGTGGGGCAAGTGGGGCACCATCAATTAGCTCTTCCAGGAAAGCAAGTGGGGCAAGTGTGGCAAATTCAACTAGTGGCCCGCCTGGGCGCTCGCAATGTAATAGCCAGAACCGGCGCAACGAACCAAAAACAACACCAAGCCCGAAACGCGTGCTCATTGTTTTTACATGCTTTGGCGTCTGCCGGTGTGGGGTCGCCGTTCCCCAAAGCAACAAAAAGTCAACTACAACAAAGAGGGTCCCTCTGCACAGCAAGAACGTCAGTATAACGCCCATGATTTTGCGGTTGCACGCTTCATGCTGCCAGGACGCTTTGGTAAATCGACGGGTCCTTTGCCTGTCAATCAGGACTCGTATTGACAGCATGATGCAAAATCATGTCGGGCAGGTGTCCCGCACACCGGCCTTTATCTTCGTCAACGTGTCGAAGATTTTTGACTCCACGCGCTGCGTCAATAAATCTGCGTTCTCATCCTCCGTCGATTCCTGGAACACATCAGTTCGGATACCCTGGCCGTTCGAATTCACATGCCTTGCGCGCTGGGCCTCGGAAGTATTTCCTACATCCTCGTCTGCAAAAATTTGAGCAACGCGGGCAGCTTCCATCTTGTCTTTCTTTTCGTTGTACCTGAGCAATGTGAAATGTGTGAGAATCAAAACAGCCATCAGCAAGTCTGTTTGCAATCACCCCTCCATGCAGCCGGGAGACTTCTTGGCATATTTTTGGGAAACGGACAGCCTTAACAAATCATGGCTATCACATTTGGTAGGCGCTTGCTTCTTCTTCACGCAGCGGAGGCACTGCTCTTCACGCTCGCCATCGCCAATAAGGTTGCCAAGCTTGCCTATATACATTGCGCAGGATGGGACATGCATGCAACCAATTTGTTCTGCAGCAACCCCGCTACACTGCAAGGGAGCTGTGCATGGATCCTTGCGAACGACCGAGCGCCCGACCTTTTTTCGCCGTCATGTGATACCGGTTTGCCACATTCGCGCAGGGACCCGTGTGTTACGTGGTGGGTTATCTGTGCTGACCCTCTCCCTGTGTGTCCAAACCGGCATGCTGAAACGAAATTGTTGGGATAGCAAGGCTTTTGTGGCGTTGGCCATGCTGGTCATTGGTCATTCAAAAACCCGCGATACCTGTGTGAAGATCACGCCCAACACAAGCCCATGGTGAGATCAAAAACCGTGCGCCGTCATAGGGATGGCCCTCAAACCCACTCATCCAACCCTGTTCTTGCACAGTCCCAGCGCTCGTGCGTGGCAGGAGTATCGAAGCTGCACAGGGATGGACTCCGCACGCGGCGGGTGCGCTTGTATGAATTGTTATGAATTTATTGCCAGCTTGCTCAAAGACAAAAAAAAACTCACTAACTATCATTCAGAACTTCTGGCACAAAATGCCGCCAGGCGCAAGCGCCGACATACCTACCGGGAGTTCAGCATGGCACGCCGGTGTTGCTTGGGGTGCTTACGCGCGTGCTGAAGGCACGGGCAGCCGAGTCACGGCATGCGGGTGACGAGGGGCGGAGGTCGCTGAGAGCTGGGGGTTCCCCATCGCGAGGGGGAGCGACAGCAGGCTTGCCGCAAACGCCCGCAGGGGCAAAAGGCGGACCACCGCTGGGCAAAAGCTGGCGGCAGGAAAGCTGGACCGTGGCACAAAGCCGGCACGATCGGGCACGGCAACGTGCGAACAGACGCGCGAAGCGGGCAGCTTCAAGGTTCCACCTCCCACAACTTCAATTGTGATAACGGCCAGATGGCACCGGGAGGCGCTAGTGAACTCGGTGCAGAACTTCGCGTGGCGCGACACCCGCGAAAGGGCTGCCCCGACAGGGCTGCCACCTTCGCAGCGGGGGGCCCGCAGCAGTGAGGGGAGACACCATGCAGGTGGCGTCGATGGCGACCAGAGCACCGCCGCAGATGGGAAGATGACCTCAATCCGCCGCTCATCCTTGCGTGCTGCATCGAGGTTGAGGTCTGCCCTCGCACGCAGGACTCCAGATCGGGGGCATGCAGCGATGTGTCCTGGGCGCTGCGGCACCGGCATGTGGAGGGTGTCAATGGCGAAGCCTGCGCAACAGGGAGAGCCCGAAAGAGAGGGGACGCGAGGGTGAGGATGCGGGCAGCAAGCGGCCCCGACTGCGAGTCCAGGAGGGCGACAGCTGCCCCATCAAGTTCGCGCTCCGCCACCCGGCGTAGGAATCCATCGACAGCCTGCGACGCGGAGCGCTGCCAACCAGAGTGAGATCAAAGATTGAGATCTGTCCTCAGCGACAACAGGAAGACAACAGGCACAGCGTCATCCAGCAGAGATGCTCAAGCAGGTGGGTCGAAACCGAGAGCGAGGAGCTTCCCGAAGGGACGTCAGGACTGGAGGCAGCGCAGCGTCAGCTTGCAAGGAATCGGCGAGGGCTTGCGCAAGGGCAATGGCCTTGGTGGAATCCGCGCAGGATGCCCAAAATGCCGCAGGCGCGTGACCAGGGCATGGCGACCAGCATGGCGAGCAGCGGCTAGCTCACTCACCAACATGGGCAAGTCTAGTAGCAAGCCGCCGTGGCACATCATCACAGGTGGAGAACCGCAGCTGCACACCCAACACTTCCCTCCTCAAAGTCGACTGCGAGTGTGCGAGGGCCGTGCACGGGGCAGACTGGCCGGGTCGGCACGCCCCGCGGCCTACCAGTAGCTCGCGTGTTTCATCAAAAAACGATTGCAACGCAAACGCTCGCTGCAAAGGGGACCATACCATGTTGCGGTCCGGGCGGGAGCTCTTGCCAGGCCGAGTCGTTCACAGCCTGGCCTGGCTCGCCTGCATTAAGAACCGACGTGGGCAACACAAAGGAAGCACGTGGCCGGGCGGATCGGGCAGCCATCAAAACACGCTGCCTTGGAACGGCATCATGGCGACGGTTGCAAATAGGTGCGTGAACAAACCAAACGAAGAGTTTGAGGTGGAGGGAGGGGTGGGGGGGACCCACAGTCCCAAGGCAGGAACCGGATGCTGCGCACAGCGGCGCCCAAGGGCAGCCCAGCAGATTACCCAGCCGCCAAATTTGGGGGCAGTTTGGGGGGGTATACAGGCTGAGCGTTTCAGGCCTTGCAGCTGCGCACGAAGCGCCGTGGCCAGGCGGTCCCCCCCCGCACCAACTGGTGCCCAAGGACGACCGCAACACAGGCAAGAAAGAAAATACGCTTTTGGCGACCACGCTCTGGCCTGCACTCGCATGGGTTTGATAGCTCGCAGGGCGAACATCGTGGAACGCGCGTGGTTGCGCGTGGCTCCGGAGGCCGTCGGTCCGGACGAGCAGTTTTTTTTTGGTGGTCCCCCAGCACAACAGCACCCAACGTCCGCTCCGATGACAGGCGCCGCCTGGACCTCGTCGTTTACGGAGCGACGCGTCTCGGCGGCCCCTTCCAGGACGAGCTGTTCGACCGTTATTTGGTGGCCTTCACAACATACCCCCGCAGGAGAAGCTTAACAGCATATTCGGCTTTTGGCGCTGCTCATTTTGAGGGTCTAAAAAAAAACGGGGCCGAACAGCTTCAGCCAAAAAACAAACGAGAACCCTCGGATCGAGGCAAAAAACAAACGAGAACCCTATGGCCCTTGCGAAAAAGGAATGCGACCTCATAAAGACACCTGCAGATCAACAAACATGTCAACTGGGCTGTCCAACGTACAATTGTTGTTGCACCGTCCGTGTTTTTTCATCACCATCTCAGGCACATCTGTAGCGAATACTTCAAGGTAACGTGCTTGGACAAGTAGGCCGGATGTGATCCAGCTGCGATCTGTTTGACTCGTCTCACGTAATCCTCCGGAAGATAGTTGTGAAAGAAACGGGGATTGACCCATAGGCATCCCGTGTATTTCGTTTTTTTAAGGTTTCGGGGGGGGGAGGGGGACTGTAGCAAGGCATGTTCTCTCAGAAAGGCACTCGGACAGAAACCATTTTAGCGCGAGCTGTCTTCACCGGCGTCTGTGTCTGCTGCGTGTCTGATTTGGAACCTCGATCCTGAGTGTACGTTTCATGGCCAAATTGAGTTTGTGAAGTGTGGCCCCGGGAGTGTTGCTCGCCCAAACTGGCTAGGCACAGCCCACATGTGACAGTTTGTCCTTTGTTGTGTCTGTTCCTGAACCTACAACACGACGGCGGGCGAAATTCGAAAGACCTCAATGAGTTTCACCCGCCATCGTGTTGCAGCAGGTTACGGAACAGACACAACAGGGACGAGCTGTCACATGTGGGCTGTGCCTATCCGCCCCAAAACCCCCTCGCCTTCCCCGCCCATTTGGCATGCGCGTGGGAAGCCTTTATCCCACCTGCAAAGGGCGGGGGAAGGGGACTAACTGTAGCGTGCAAGAGTCCCTGTCTGGCTGTCTGTGGGACGTGTTGTGCGACTGTTAGGATGTTTCCTGGCTGTCTGTGGGACCCTGGGACCGGGAACGCCCCAAAAATAAGCGGGAAGGAGGGGGGGGACTGTGGCGCGCAAGAGGCCCTGCCCTTTATGACCCACCCCAAACCCCCGCCCTCGCCGCCTGTTTCTGGCATTTCTGGCTGTCTGTGGGACCCCTATGGGATCGGGAACACCCCAGAAATAAGCGGGAAGGCGGGGGGGGACTGTAGCGCGCAAGAGGCCCTGCCCTCTACCACCTACGTGCTGTTCCTCTGACTGGTTTGCTATGGGTCACGGGGTTGGGCCATGTTGTGAGATGTTGTGAGCATCATAGCATATTCGCACCCAGAAACCCCAGTTTGTTGTGAACTATATGGGAAAATCCCAAGCGCATCTGGGCGCGCTATGTGAAGCTGTGCAAAGTCAGAGGAACAGGTCATGCGTTGCAACGCATACGCGCAGCCAGTGACGATTGTTTGTTGCGAGCTTTTCTTTTGAATGGAACGTCCTTTGCTTTGTTGTCCAATGCTTGCTTTAACAAGAGAATGTATAACCATCCACGTCTTCCACTTTACAGCCGACGACGAAACCCGATCTACAACCGTCCAGGCTACACATCGTACACAAGCCATGTACCTTGGATGCTCTTAAGATTGCTGCGCAGCGATGCGCAGCGGGGGCCGCCGCCGCCGCTGACGCCAGAGTCTGCCAGAGAGGTCCAAGGCAGACTTATGCGCAGTTTGGAGTGCCCGGCACCTCAGGACTCGGACGCGCCTCGCTTTCTCCCATCCACGCTGGAACCACCTTTGTGCCGTCTTTGAGCCACCTCTGCTAAGCACTCCAGAAGCTTAATGCCCAGTTTACCCATCATACGCCGGCCAAGACGGGAAAACGCTCCGCCAAACACAGCGCAGGAGGTACTGAAGCACCAAGAAAATATAAGCTCCTAAAACACACCCAAAAGATAAAAACACGAACGCTTAAATATTAAGATGGCCCCCCACCCCCAACCCTAAAACCCTAAAACACGCCCAAAACAGAAAACACGTAGATCTTTGGGGGGGGTACCAAATAGCTACCCCCCCCCCCATAGATCTACCCTTTTTCATACATTTATGCCTCTGTAAACCCCACCTTGACTTTCTCTCAGCATGAGCACTATAAGAAATATCTGGTCTTACACAGATTACATAGAGCTACTGTGTTGAGGCGACCAACTGCCCAAACTTCCGGACCTTCAGTGCGCGTGGCAGCTTTTGCTTATGTGCGCCTCGCCTCGCGCTTGCCATGCCATTCGCACCATGCCGCCCTCGGCGTCTGCGGCGTACGCCCGGGGACATGACGATGCCGTCTGGACGGCGCTGCAGAACATGCTCGGCGGAACAGGCGACGCGGACGCGACCCAGGCACGGCAAATTGCGGCCCTCCCAGGCGCGCTGGGCGGCCTAGGATTGCAGTCAGCAGAGACCACGGCGCCTGCAGCTTACTGGGCCTCCTGGGTCGACGCGTTGCCCGCCATACGCGCACGCCTGCCGTGGTGCGCGGACAGATACGTGCAACTACTTG